TCCAACCTGAAGTCTTGGTTGGCGGTGACGATTCTCCATGTAGTTGATGGACTGGTAGGGGTGCTCGACCGCCGCGGCTGGCCGTCTCCCGACTCCACGACGGGCGGGCTAGGAGCAGGGCGCTTGAACCCCTCCCGAGGCCGCGCTGCCCGTGTCCCCGCCATTGGAGAGCAGGTCGGCATCCTTCTGCCGCAGGGCTGCGCCTCTCTGGCCCTTGCCTGCGCCCGCAGCGCCGCCCCCTGCCGATCCCGCCGAGGGTGCGGAACTCGAAGCCGCCGCTGGAGCCTGCCCTTGCCCGTCAGGCTGTGGCCCACCAGCAGCGTCTTCTCCGTCCCCGTCGATCTTGCGCTTCTTCCTTGCCAGTCGTGCCTTGGGAGCTTTGTGTTCTTTCTGACATTCTTCTGCTTTCGGCTTGAGGCTGCCGAAAAGCTGCTTGGCGAGGTCGGCGAACTGTGTTTTGAACTGGGCCTCGCGGTCTCAAGCCTCCTGGAGGTCTGTCTCGGAGATGTCGACACACTCGCTGAGGCCAAAGAGTCCTCCCTCACAGGGAATCTCCCAGCAACCTCTGCCGCCAAGGATGTCCTCGAGGCGCAGGACGGGCTTTGTCGGCTCGTGCGGCGTGGCCACAGTGCCGTCCACTTCGGTGAAAGCCTCCTTGTAGATCTCCTCTTGCTTGCCCAAGTTGCCGAAGGTTTCCTGGACGACCTTGCCCGTCTCCTCGACCTGCTTGTGCAGGGCCTCCAACTCCGTGGTGTGCTTGCGCATGTCAACTTCCAGACTCTGGATGACGCGGTGGCTCTGGTCTGCGCGGCTCTGCTGGGCCACCTCCGACCTGTCCTTGATAACCAGCACGTGCTGAAAGTATTGCGCCAGCTCGGTGTTCTTCGATTTCTCGGCCAATCGAATGAGCTGTTTGACTTCGCTGATATCCATATCTGGCACAGGGTCCTTCCCTCCTTGAAATCCGACGGCGAGCGGAGCCCCCCAAGGAACACCCCCTAGACCAGGAGGAGTATCCAGTTCATGTACGTGATCTTTGTCTTGACCTTTGCCTTTCTCGTGAACTTTCACCGTTCGCCAGTGCTTACTGCCATGCTTGCAGTGGGCGACCGTGTACAAGGACTTGTTGCACCCGCAATGCTGACAGCGCCAGGTGGGTTCGTCTCCATTCCATGAGAGCTGGGTGCCATACTATGAATGGGGTCGGGTCTTCGCAAGGAGGCCTCCACACCCCAGTCAGGGCTGCTGTTCGAGGAGTTGGCCGATGTTCCTCAATCTCTCGGGCCCAAGCCCCAGGGGAGGCAAAGCCCCAGGCAGTGGCCTTGAGCCAAATGGCCACGGAGCTCCTCCTCCTCCTCCTCCTCCTCCTCCTCCTTATCCTCCTCCTCCTCCTCCTCCTCCTCCTCCCCCTCCTCCTCCTCCCCCTTAGGAAACGATTCATGGGAGGCCTTCGTAAGAACGAATTCAACAATGTTCCATGAGAACCGGATGAGGCCAAAATTCGGCTTGGGATTACGCTGGCATCCGCCAGATTCAGCGGGACGGAGCCGGCGGACTCGGCGGGATGAAGACGGATCAGCTGGGGCTGCGCCGGATTCGGGCAATGCCCGGCCAAAGACGCACACACCGGCGCCGATTCTGAATTCCAACCTCACAGATCGGGAGCGGCCAAGAGGGGGGTGTCCAAGAGGGGGGGGTGCAAATCATGACCGGCGGCATGTGCGCGGCCCAGCGGGGGGGCTAGGGACGTGATGAAATAAGAAGAGGCGCCATGAAATCTGGGGAAATATCATGGCCCCCGCCATGATATTCACCCCCCTCTTTGCCGCCCCCGAACAGAGTTGCATCCTGACCAAGAGAGGGCCCCCGGCCAGGATCGGCGCCGCAGGTGCCCGCCCCCTCCTCCGACGGTGCATGTCTCTTCGCGGCGTAGGCCCCCGGAGACCTCGGCCAACTCCCGAGTCGCTCATTGGGCGGTCCCCAGGGTAGGGGAACAGCCTCCCAAAGCCGGAAGCGACGATCGGGAGCGGCCAAGAGGGGGGTGTCCAAGAGGGGGGGGTGCAAATCATGGCCGGCGGCATGTGCGCGGCCTTTGGGGGGGGGCCAGGGACGTAATGAAATGAGAAGAGGCGCCATGAGATCTGGGGACATATCATGGCGCCCGCCAGGATATCCACCCCCCCCTAGTCATCACCCCCCTCTTTGCCGCCCCCGAGACGAGAAGCTGGCCGCCCCGACTCTTTTGCATCGCTGGGACGGGAACCACAGGGGATGTGCCGACCCCTATCCCAGGCTTCGCGGGGCTGCCGAGTGGACCCGGAAGGTGGGACCCAACCCTGGGATGTACGATGGAGGGGCGCCCATCCTCGAAAGGGGTGCGTCCAAATACAGTCGGGGCGTTGACCTAAGGAACCCTAAATAAGGAACGAGGCCCCTTTTTCCCATAAGTTGAACTTCGATTTCTTATCGAAAACCTAAGGAACACCTAAGGCAAGCTGCGAAACAGTTAAGGAACACGGATCCCCTCCCCAACGAAAAGGGTTCCTTCTTCAGGGCCCCGACTGTAGCCCCTCTGGGGTGTACCCCACGGTCCCCCTCCTTTTGTGAGCGGCTTCATTTTTGTCGAAAAGTCGGGGCTGGAGGAAAAATAATCGCCTGCGAGGTTACTTATCGACGTTCCCGCGGCCCTGGGAGGGCCCCGAGAACGCGAACGCGGCAAATCACTCGACGCGGGGATCCTGATCCTCCTTTGCGCATCTCGTCTTCGTGGCACTTCTCGCTTTGACGAGTGGGCAACGGGCACGACGACGACTACGCCAACAATCCACCTGCTAGTATTTTATCCGCCCCGTCCCTCGTCATCAGTCCTCCTCCTCCTCCTCCACGTCTTCCTCCTCCCCCTCCTTTCCCTCTTCCATGCTCCTCCGATATCATCCCTCGTCCTCCCCCTTATCCTCCTTTTGACTCGTTCTGCTCCTCCACCTCCTCCTCTTCCCCCTCATCCTCCTCCTCCTTCTAATCCCTCTGTTCCTCCTCCTCCTCCTCCTCCTCCTCCTTCTCCTCTTCCTGCTCCTCATCATCACCATCATGTTCCTCCTCTTCCTCATCCTTCTTCTCCTCCTTTTCACGTTGCCCCGAAATGAAGCGCAAGCTTGACGCGTTCGAACGTAGGACAAACAAACACTTTTGTTAACAGAACGTAAAACAAACTAACCATGGCGGGCGCAACGGGCAAAGAGAGGCAACAATAACGGAAAATAAGAAAGCCTCAGAGTATGCACCCGCCAGGCAGTACGACACAGCTACGCCTGGCGGTACGTTGTTGCTCATCAGCGATCCATAGAATACCACCCCGCATCTTCCTAAGTTTATCCTGGCAAGTCGTGACAAGGTAAAATATGCGTACAGTGCGCATTGAAAGGTGAAAAGCAAGTGACTCTAGGAATAGGTGCAAAGAGCGAGAGGACGAGAAGGAATTTAAGGTACACGAGAGGATACCGAAAGAGGAGAACTCGAAATACACTTGCAGTGCGAGTAGAAAGAAAAAGACAGGCGACGCACGGAGGGTAAAGTAGCGATCTGAGTGAGAGATGCTGCTGTGTAGAAAAAGCGTGGCCACGCCCTGAATCTCAGGGGGGTTGGCGCTGTTGCCTCATCACCTCGTCCGTCCCACCGCCATGAACTGCCATGTCAACCAACTCCCATGCCCAGCATAGAGCCAGGTTGCGTCAGAGGCGAGGCTTGAGGCTGCAAAAAAAAAGTGCAAGTGGTGGCAGATCTTGGGTTGCCGCCAAGGGTTGTTCGGCTCACCCCGAACCTCAATTGTCCCGGGACCCCCGTTGTATGTCATGTGTTGCAGGTTAGGCACGAACTGTCGGTAGCAGCTGATGTGTGGCCTTGCATGTTCAGGCTGGTCATTTAGACTGGCTGGCATGTGGAGCTTAAGTAAATGAGGACGGCCAGAAAGGAATGCTGACTGGCTGGCCATGAGACTGGCTGGCCTGAAGGACTCGCATACTAAGTATGTTGACCAGGGAGCAGCGCAAAGAGAAAAAGTGAGAGAGCAAGACAGAAGTGATAATGAGCCACATGGTGTGAGCTCTTAGACTGGCCGCTCCAACTGGTTGGCATGTGATGTCACAATTTCGGAATATGTAATTTCAAATTTGGCTGGTATACTGAAATAAAGCAGCATAACGGACAAAGATGATGACAGAGACAAAATGTAGCAAACTGGCACACGATGGACACGTAAGCTGATACGTAAATGATGTGCCCCTCCCAATGCGTAAAACCAATACCCGTAGCCATTCCAGCCCAAGGAGCTAGAACAGCAAGTTGACTAAAAGAGTGGCGAAAGGCAGTGCCAGTCTAAACTGTGGGGCCACACCCTGTCAAGGGGGGCCCTGACATGCACCACGTGAATTAAAATGCTCCTCCTGCTCCTCCCCCTCCTCCCCCTCCCCCTCCTCCTCCCGCTCCTCCTCCTCCTCCTCCTCCTCCTTCTCCTCCTCCTCCTCCTCCTCCTCCTCCTCCTCCTCCTCCTCCTCCTCCTCCTCCCCTCCTCCTCCTCCTCCTCCTCCTCCTCCTCCTCCTCCTCCTCCTCCTCCTCCTCCTCCTCCTCCTCCTCCTCTCCTCCTCCTCCTCCTCCTCTCCTCCTCCTCCTCCTCCTCCTCCTCCTCCTCCTCCTCCCCCTCCTCCTCCTCCTCCTCCTCGTCGTCCTCCTCCTCCTCCTCCTCCTCCTCCTCCTCCTCCTCCTCCTCCCTCCTCCTCCTCCCCTCCTCCTCCCCTCCTCCTCCTCCTCCTCCTCCTCCTCCTCTCCTCCTCCTCCTCCTCCTCCCCTCCTCCTCCTCCTCCTCCTCCTCCTCCTCCTCCTCCTCCTCCTCCTCCTCCTCCTCCTCCTCCTCCTCCTCCTCCTCCTCCCCTCCCCCTCCTCCTACCCCTCCCTCTCTGCGACGGGAGGTGGCTGGCGTTTCCCCGCCCCGACCCCCCGGCGTCGCCGCAGGCGAAGTTCGCCCGGTGCCCGCAGCAGTCCACGCCTGGGCCCGCGGCCCCGCGCGCCTCTCCCCGGGCCCGCCCGCGCCCGCCCGCGCCTCGCCCTCCGCGGGGGGGGGGTGCGCGCAGGGCGCCCTCGGGGACGGGCCCGGGGACATTTTTTTTGCGTCGGCGGCTAGGCAGAGGATGGCTGCGCTGGCGATGAATAGCACGAGCGGGGGTACCTCTGGGCCGACTTATGCCACCATGCAGGAGGAGGAGGGGCGCGGCCGAAGTAACACAAGGACGGGGCGAGCGGCTCAGGGGTTAGAACGCACCCCTTGGGGCCCGGGGACACACAAAGCAACAGACACAGATCCAAGGATTCCGCATATCCGTTCCTATCTTCTGGGGGTTCGTCTCCCCTCCACGTCCTGGCGATCGACGATATTTTGTATGTGTGTGTGCTTTCCCCCTCGTGGCAAGCACGGCCGCAAGGAAGGTCCTCTCCACCATTGTGCGTCTCTCGCAGGAGGGCGCGCAAACGACACCCAGCGGTGGAAGGGACTGGGCAGATGAAGCAGGAAGGCGTTGAACGTATGTTGCGTTTCCACCCGCCCACTGAAGAGGGCGGACGAGGGAAGACCGCTCGACGCTTGAAGTGGGAAAGCGCCTGAAAAACTGGAATCCGGGGATCGGAAAACACCGTCTTTCAACGACCGATAAGGTGCGCCTACACCGATCCTGGCTAGGCCGGTCCGGGGCCAAAGATCATCCGTGCATGCGCCCTCGAAGGGGGGCGGCCGAATCACAGCCGTCAATGGAAAAATGAAGAAGGAATGAAAATAAATGCTCGGAGATCCGAGCAGATTTCGCGGATCGGCTGGACACTCATTTGGCGTGCGAGACCTGCCAAGAACGTTGCCAGAAGATCCGCCAGGTGGGTCCAGCACTGATCCGAGAAGTCCACGCGGACCTCAGAAAAAAGGCATGTTTATGCAGTTTGTTTGAAAGCACCAAACTCTCCAACCTGAAATGTAACATCTGTCACGGCTTGCCCCAGAACAGATGCTGTCAAAACACAGGGCACGCGCGAAGGGGCTTTTCAACAGACACTAGTTGTTCCCAACACAAAGCTTGCATTTAGGGCTTCGTACTTTTGAGCAGGGACCAACTGTCCCGGCTTTCCTATAGGCCTACCACCGAACGTTCTTAGAATCAAGCGAAGTTCTAAGAACAGACACAATGTGCTTAGAACAGAACGCCGACAGCATCAGCTAAGCATGTTCTGAGAACACCTCGCGCAGACCACAAGAGGCTCTCGGGACATTCTTCGGCGGGCCTAATAGGCGAGTCAAGACGCTTCGCCACTGTCTGACTTTGTGGGCCCCGGAAACGGCAGGGCCGTTTTTCCACCGTTTCCAAGAGAATGTACCTTGGAAATGGAAACGGCAAAAAAACGGCGACCGCAAACGGCAACAAAAACGGCTCCAAGATTGGAACCTGAGCCGGAACCGATCAAAAAAACGGCGACTCAACCGGTAAAAAAAACAGCGTCGGAACCGGCAAAAACACGGCAAGACGGAACCGGTGAAAAACCGGCCCTGTCGTTTCCAGGGCCCACTGAGCTGCCAGATGCTTCCCTTGCAAAAGCTGGGATGGTGTGCCGCCCAGGCCGGCTCGCGGCCAACCCCTCGGTCGCCGCCCCGTCGCCGCCCCGTCGCTGGGCTCGTGGGCCGCCCCGGCCCGCGTGTCGCCGCCCCGCCGCCGCCCCGCCGCCGCCCGCCCGCCGGTGAGGGGCAAGGGTGCGGGGGGCCCCGGCATGGGATTGGAGGCCTGGGGATGGCCACCAACACCAGCACGAGGAGTTGCCTCCACCGGGGGGAGATGATCCGAGATTTCGGTGTTGGTGGTATAATATTTCCGCCGCCTTGGAAGCCAGAATATTACCACCATCACCGAGATCGAGATCCTCTTCCCTCGGTGGAGGCACACCGCCGATATTGGTGTTGGTGTCAACCTCTAGGCCTGCGATAGGAGGGGACACATCGACCTGGCATCGGCGACACATCGCCGACGGATCGGCGATGCGCTGCAGATGGTGAATCCAAACCTCCCTGGGCAGGTCGGGGCTCTCGGGCCTCTGTCGGCGATCCATGGGCGTTCGGGGATGGATGCAGCCCCCCTCGTGCCTCTCCCCCCCTGCCGTTGCCCCTGAGTCTGGGCCCGTGTGCCGATCTGACTGCCTTGAAGCTGCCCGTCGACGACCGTTAAAACAGGGCTAGGATCGGGATAAATCGCTCCAGAGCGTTCCGGAGCGCTCTCAGAGCGTTCCGGAACGCTCTGGAGCGGCCGCGGCGCCCAGTACATCCTCCAAACCCGCCGATTCTCAGGGATTTCGAGTTATCCCGATCCGACTTTGTCCCGATCTTCGCGTCGTTTCACGTGTGCCGATCCGACCGCCCTGAAGCTGCCCGTCGACGACCGTCGTCGCCGCCCGCCTGTGCCCGTGTGCTGGTCCGGCCG